TTGTTTCCCCGATGTATAACTGGCCGCAGTCCTCCTGGCACTTAACAGCATATACAACATTGCTCTGTTTGTGCCAGACACTGTGTGGTTTGAGAGAGGAGTAAAAGAAGCCATTTTTGTGAAGAAAGACCGTCCATCATTAAACAGAGGTGGAGGTCTCCGTTTTCAATTGTCCCCCTCCTACAGCACAGCCATTGCCAGTATCATTCCACCCCCTGTTAACAATAAGTGTCAATTAGGTGTCAACGATAGCCATGTGATGTGAGTATCAGTCACACGGAGGCTGGGCTTAAAAGCCTAAATTTTGCCTGAAACTCTCAGACTGAAGAAGTCTCTTGGAGAAGAGATGAAACGTTTCATTAGAGAAGAACCCGTCCAAAAAACTATAAAATAAGACTTTTTGGCGGGGCCCAACGGAAGTCACCTTTTGGCCAGATGTGGCTCGCGGGCCACCAGTTGATTAGCCCTGCCCAGCAGTGTCATGTGGATTGAATTTTTCCTACAATCAATATGCTTTAGTTACAAATTAATAAACCGATTCCACTTTTAGTACTGCAGCATGTAAAATCTAAAGTAGTATTTTAAAAAAACATGTCATACTTCTAAATAACAGAGACAGGCAAAACATCATGGCCTGCCTTTTACCTTTCAGCTGCGGGCAATAATTAAAACCATAAACCAAGATTATTCTACCAGTTCTAAAGGAGAGCAGAAACCTAACAGCTGTATACCCTAAGCAGAATAATTTATAACACGCCATGGGCAAGTGTAATGAAATTAATTTGGTCTCACTGAAGCTAAACCTCATTAAAGGTTGATGTTTAGAACATGTGCTGCCTTCTCCTCCCCTGAGAAAAACACAGCTGCCGTATTATTTGTCCAAAAGTAGAGTCAGACAGGAGAAACAAAAAAYCCACTGTTTGCACTTTCTGAATGACTTTCCATCAAATGTCAGCGCCGCATCCAAACAAATTAAAGCTCACTGTGTCATATTTAAATGATGTTTAATGGAGCTRAAACAAGTGAGGAAAGCTGGACTCCAGTACCAACAGTGGGAATAGTTCTGGTGGATGGACATCTGCTGCCATACATGTTTCAAATGATTGATAGGAACTTTCTCCCTCTAATGCCTTGTTTTTTTTTTTCCAATAAAAAAAGAGAAATGAACTTATTTCTYAAGGTTATTTAAAAGTGGATTGAAGTTGCATTAGTGCAACATAACGGAACATTTTTTCTGCAGTATTTTTCTAATAAACCTAAACCTATAGTCTTTATAATGAAAGCATGCCTCTTATGTTACTCCCAGTCTAGCTCTCAGCAGCAGTCAATAAAGCTAATCACGTTTCAGCACTTAGCTGAGTGCCTCCGTGTCTCTTTGAGGTGCCCACATCCAAACCCAGAGCCTGGGCTCCATGCCCAAACCAGACTGACCTGCAGTGACTGCTGCAGAGGTGCCAGTGTAAACACCGACCCAGCCCAGGTCCACTTGAGAAGCCTTCACTTAAACATTTTAATGAAGTGACATCGTTTCCCCCCAAAAGGCCCATCCAAGTGTGTGCTGTAGCCTATGTGCTCCCAGCACTTAGGCAGACTTTTAAAAGAACGGGGTGTGCTCTTCTATGCCTGAAAATCTTTCTTTTTTTTTTTCAAAAGCTTTAAGAGTCCGGGAAATGATTTGTGTTGACATTCATTTTTGTTTATTTGTCAAGGGCAAAGTTTCCAGTGATGCGAGGGAAAAACTCAAAAGATGTTTCTTTTATTGATTTAAAAGTCTGATTCATGATTTGATTTTTGTCTCTCTTAATTTTCCTGCCCATCATACCAGAAAGTGAGATGTGTGATGAATATTTTCAGCAACTGATGAAGAAATGTTCTCTCTCGAACATCGCGTCAATGTCTCTCCCACACTGCTCCAATGTTTATCTTTCTAATCTACCCCTAATTCCCGTTTTTCCTCCCGTTTCTTCTCGTCTCCCCTTCAGTTTCACTCCCTGTCTCCGGTGCCAACATTCCCTCTGCTTGCTATCCCTCACTCCTCCTCGTGTCTTCCTCTTTTCCCTTTTTCTCATGCCACCACTTACCCCTCATTCTTTGCTCTTTGAAATCCCATGTTCCTGTTATATAATTGTCTAATCTACTTATTTGTGTTAATCTTGGTTTCTGATTCATTGTCTCTTCTCTCCCAGTCGGTGATCGTGAAGAGCGTGGAGAGGAATGCGGTCAACATGTACGAAGCTCGAAAATTCCTCCTGGGTCTCGAGAGCAACGGCGTGTCATCTTCCTCGCCCTCCATGGTCCTCAATCCCCCCACTAATGGCCTATCCCCTTCCCTTATTTGCCCTGTTGGCCTGGACATCCTGGCCTCAGCTGGCCTGGGGCTGAGTAATCTGGGTAATCATGCCGTCTTAAATCTTGCTTTTTGCTTTATGAAAAGCTCCTTTATTTATTTATTTATTTCTGCTCCAGATGTTTTTCCATGATAAGGCAAAATGATAAATTAGTGCAAAAAGATAAGATGCTGTTCTTTTACTTGTACAATGTGCACAAGAGTTACTTTTTTTTTTTGCAGTAGAACACACATCCGTTCACCTCATTTTTACACAGTATACTCTTACAATATCCCAAAAATCCCCAAAAGCACAATAATGCCCATTCAGTGCTTCTCTTTTGGTGAATTTTACTTATCCAGTTCAGCCTAAGTCACTCCCACTGAGCCATATGTTTTATGGGTAGAGTTTACTGTAAAAAAAAATGTTTACAGATCTGATCTCATCATGACAAAACCTCTCGGGCATCTTTGATCAGCCAACCATCAGAGAAGAACCTCGACACAGATGTGGTCGCGCCACTTCAAACGAATCTTGAAATTACGAGCGGCTCTGATTGTGCAGAAACCTTTCGGCAACGCTGCCCTCACAAAGTTGATCTCAGGTCACCGAGTTCTGGTCTGAAAGAGCTGAAATTGCTACAACCTAAAGTATAAGATAATAATAAATGTTTTAGAGATTCAGGCAAGAAAAAAAAACAGAAAATTGTCACTTTTTTAAGACAAACTTTGCATCTTGGCTGACAGGGAGTTGATCATGGCTATAAACACGCTGCGAGATATTCATCTTTTAGAAATGTAATTATGTCACCAAAAACTAGTGATCTAAATTGAGTTGGACGTATTGCTTAGAAATTACTGATTGTGTTTAAAAAAGAAAGAGTTATTTTTTTAATAGTTAAAAGGGGTTTAAAGGGGAAGTAGGGCGTTTGAGCAATGGTAAAGTTGTAATGTTCATTTATTTAATGMAAAACAAATTCTCTGATGTTCCTGAATGTCTTTTTTTAAATAGTCTATATTTCCCTACTCATTTCATCTTCAATGTGTAAATTGATTGCAAACCATCYCAGTACAGTAGATTCATTTATTTCTGTCTGATTTAAACCCTGGGGCCCAGGGGTRAAGCTGTGGATGGCCACATCCTGGCCTTTAGTAATTGCTACATGCCTCTTTTCCTCAGATTGCAGAGCAGTTTGCCAGAAGAATCCCGGGCTTTATTCCTGGAGCCAAACTAGCCCCTTGTAAAAGCCACAGACCTGTTTCTTTCTGTTTTCATACACAGTGTTTGGGTTAAAACCCCGAGCACCATATTGTTGGCGCTTTCAGCAGCACAGTTTTATTGGGTACAAGGATACACGAGACGTATACTTTCGTATCCGCGACCTTGTCGAAATATATGAAATTCTTCCCCTCGTTTGCCATCCGGTTGATCGCAGTTTGAAGGAATTCCAGTAAAATAGTTGGACGACCGAGATTGTTTTCTGAGGGTCTCGTAACGTGTGATTAGCTTGAAAAATGGCTTTGTGCTTTGACGGGACCACCGCTGATCTCCCCCCCTTCCCCCATTTTCTTTCCCCCRCAGGTTTCCTGGGTGCAACGGCACCCCACTCCCTCCCAAATTCGGCTGGCCCAAATGCTCTCCTGAACAACTTAAACTCGACTCTGAGCCCTCTGCCAACACCGAGTCCCAGCACCCCAGCGCCACCCCCCTCCCTCTGGCCCAGCTCGCTCACCACCACCCAAAGTTTGTAGAATACGTTTAATCCCAGAACATCACTTTGATTTAAACAAAGTGTGTTTTGGTTCATCTGAGCTTCAAGTAGTTCAAATATAAATCAGTSGAGTTTTGATTTTTCTTGCAGGCTTCTCCTCTCAGCTGATGCTGCATCCTGCCGCTCAGGCCACTCTGAGCARCCTCCTGCGATCAGGCGTGCAGGGTTACACACACAGCACGCCGTCCCCTCCACCCGGCCTTGCCCCCATCGACAAGCAGCCAAACGGCGTCCCTGACTGCACTCTGAACGGACACGTCAAGGTCTTTTTTTATTTTTATTTCTATTTTTTTTGTGTGTGCGTACCATTACTAAGAGTTCAGCTGGAACCTTTGTTTAGTGAATAACGTGTTATTTGTTTTTGCTTCCTTGACATCCAGCATCCCGGCTACGCGAGGTTAGCAACAACGGCGCTCGCAGAAACTGTTCTGAGTCCAGCTCCGTGTGACTCRGCCCAAGAGGCGAGCGGACGCAATCCATCAGAACCGCTGTCGAGCAAATCTAACCCAGACGAAGGTACGTCTCATTTACTGAATGTTTGATTTTTTTATGCTTTTTAAGCTAAAAAAAATGAGGGCTAAACTACGGTAAAATACGATAATACCTTTCTGAACAAGATTCTTGTCAGGATGTACGATAAAAATATTATATCAGCAGTTTTATCTGCATGCTGCCAAACACAAAGGGGTAATAATATTTTTGCACATGTGTGTGTGTTTGTATGCACTGACAGCTCTTGCAAGATTTTAAAAAATGGGAAGAGATTGTCACCAAAATGACTTCTCAGGATAAGATGATTTTAGTTTAAAATTCTAGCATGAAAGCAGGTGCATTGCTAGACCTTTAATATTGTTTGTCCCCCATTACATAAATGTTATAGATTGACCCCCTTTTATCTTTAAATTGATCTAAATCTGAATAATTTTCCAACTTTACGGAAAAAAAAAACAAAAAAAAAAAAAACAAGCAGCGACCTTGTAGATCTCAATGTTCAAGTATTTGCCTTTCATTCATATAAACTTTGTCCACTTCCTCTTCTTGCCCTCATTTATGCTAAACTCAGTCTTGTGATTTATGTGTTATTCTAATCTTGGATGGACTCAAATTTTAAGCAGTTAATGTTTTTAACTCCGACTTGAACATAAATGTCCAAATCAGGATTTTCTGCTTGAGATTTATGTCGCTCTGAAAGCCACACTGAGGCAAGTGGTGTAGAGTTGACCTCTCTCAGTTTCTCTATACTGTCCGCCGAACCTCACAGACCCTCTGATTGCGTTTATTGGAACGGAGACAGATTAACTGCTGGTCTCCTAGCGGTTCAGCAAGGCCTTCATTTCCTCTGTCATACATATGCGTTTTTCTTTTTTCTTTTTTTTTTTTTTTTTTTTTTTTTTTTTTGTTTCCCCTACTAAAACCTTCACTCTCACGCGTCTCGGTTTCCTTCGCTGTTTTCTAAGCTGTTTCTACCCCAGTTCAGTTTGTCCTGGTAAGTTTCCCCCCACCTCTTCCTCACTTCCCCCTGTGTCCCAGAATGTGTTTGGGCTGGGCTGCTCCGTCCGGCTCTCACCTCTGAGCTCTGGGTGGTGTGACCTTAGGGGAATGGTTCAAACTCAAAGAACCCCCCAGGGAGCCCCAGCAGAGGGACTGACATCATATTATTTTAGATTTTACAGCTCATATGTACTCACGGATTCTTGATTATATGCATGCATTCCCTCACAGACGCGCACATCCTGTTAAATGGAGCAGGTTCTCGTGGGTCTGCAGGTTGAAAAGCAAATGAAAACTATTTTAATCACAGGTGCTTTTTTTAATTAAACCAAGATCCTACTGAGAATTGTCTGACTGGGTGGCTTAAATAAGACAGAGCCAAGGAGGTTCTATAGAACAGCTGGAGTGCGCAGAAACCACGTGACCRYGTGATCGGCTGTAGAAGCTAACGGCTAATGCAAAACGGTCAAAAGTCTGGATTTACCACTACTGTACCTGTTGACAACAGAGCAGAAAAAAAGGACTGACAATTTAGAAATCATAAAAAAACTATTAATAATAATATTAACCCAATTCTTATTAATATTTTACAGTTTATATAATCCATTTAATGTTTTAAATAATGCCCGAAAAGCTGTGTGTGTTATGGATTTATTAACAGAAGATGAACAGGAAAACGTCTCATTTCACAACACAAGTCAGCAGATTTGATCTTATTTAGCTCAATATGATCTGAGCAGAACATAATGTAACAGTTTAAAATTAAAATAATCTTATAAAGTCAATGTAATCTCTGTTATTGAACTGGTTAACAGATATTATTTGTGGAGCATATATACAGAGCGTAGCACTGTTGAATCATGCTACAATTTAACACAAACTATTAAATATTACTTTGTCCTCTGATTAATATTTAGACCTACAGAGTGTAAAATACTATTATAAACATAAGTATTTTTAGGTTTCTGTTAGAGGAACCTGACTTGTTGAGAAGATGGTTAGCTAATAGAGACAAGTTTCATCCTATAACCAGAGTACATTTTCTAACTGTTGACTGGTAAATATAAATATTCTTATTTTTTATGACAGTAAGAAGAAATAATAAATATACTTTATTACTAGCTGAAGTCATCATTTTTTAACTAGCTAAAGTCTGAGTTACAGGCTGACTTCAGGTCTGGTTTAGATCATTGTTACTTATAAATTATATATTTTTCTGGTATAAATCTGCTGTTTTACATGATTGTTGAATGAAATTAACATCATTATTAATTTGTTGCAAAAACATGACCGATAATCTGTGAAACAGATCCGGTTCAGCTTGCTGTTTATCTATTAGTTTCTATGGAGGCTGTGAGCTGTTGCCCTGTTAGGTCTCCGTTTCTGCTCCTCCATGCTGTCACAGATGCTACAGTGGACGGTATGGGCGGGGCTCAGTCTAGTGATCTTTATATTTAAGTCTATGGACGGAGCTTGATTTATTCCAGCTATTGTTGTCCTATYACATTTCCTCTGTTCATAAAACGGAGCATAATTTGGACGTTTCTTTGCTTTAGGTTCCGATACATTTGTCGAAGTGGGCATGCCAAGAAGCCCCTCTCACTCAGCGAACGGCAATGAGCTGAAACAGATGCTGGCTTCCTGTAAGACGTCATCGGGCAAACGGCAGGCCGTGGAGCTCCTGCAGGGCACCAAGAACTCCCATCTACAGTATGTTTCAATGTAAAGCAAATTATTCACACCTTCCTGAAGCATGGCTTACATTTCCCTAGAGTCGTCGGCTGCATTGCTCAGATTATCCTTCCTTTTTGTTGTTCCGACAGCTCCGACTGCCTCCTGTCGGATGCTGAGTCCAGCTCCTCGGACAGTCCTGTGGCGGATAAGAGGGCACCGGGGAGCGAGCGGGCCGCCGAACGGGCAGCTCAGCAAAACGAGAGGGAGAGAATCAGACTGGCACCGCAGACTTCCTTTGCTAGCATGCAGGTAAACACTCAACAACAAAAAAAACCCACACTCTGTAAACATTTTGGCAAAACGGGAAGAATTACGGGAATTAAAGTGTCTGCTGCATTTTTTAGGCATTTGACTACGAACACAAAAAGCTGTTGGCAACCAAAGGTGAGTCCACATTTGTTTCAAACTCGTAAGTAGTGTTTAAGAAAAGGAACTGAATTATTGTTTTTGCTAAACTTTAAAAAAAAGTTTAGCTGTTTAGAGCACTATTGAGTCTTCTTTCTGTGCACGTTGTTCCACAGCGATGTTAAAGAAGCCCGTGGTGACGGAGGTAAGGACCCCCACCAATACGTGGAGTGGTCTAGGCTTTTCGAAGTCCATGCCAGCCGAGACGATCAAGGAACTCCGGAGAGCCAATCACGTCCCGTATAAACCCAGCATGACCACCACGTATGAGGTCAGACGATCCGAAATGACCTTTTTCATAGTCTCTGATAAATTAGTTTAACTTTTTGTTTCCATTATGTCTAATTGTACAATGTAAGTTTCAGATATTGTAAATTCAGTTAAATTTTTTTTAAATTCAGAATGACACGTTAAATGTTTTTTTCTCTGTCTGTCTTTATGATGGACACAGGACTCCCCGCTGTCCCTGTCTCGATCTGGCAGCCGGGAAGGTGTTGGGAATGGCAGCGACTCTGATAACTGGAGGGACAGGAACGGCACTGGAAACGGCCTGCCGAACCACGCCGAGTTCACCTCAGCTGTYAGCAGTCCGAAAAGGAAACAGAACAAGTCTGGTCAGTAATATCGGAGCATCCTTACAACAAACACGCTAAACTGTTGATATGATAATGAAACAAACAAAAACTTATGTATTAACTCTGGGTTTCAGAACAAGTGAATTTGTTTGTTATTTAGTTTAAAAAAGGTCTTTCCTCAGTTTTAGCTGAGTTTCTTTTTTTGTTTTTGTTGTTTTCTTTGACTTGATATCTGTAATATCTTACATGTGCAAAATGTCCTAACTTTTTACGTAACGTYATTTTTGTATATATTTTTTTATTTGCTCTGTAGCTGCAGAGCATTACCTCAGCAGCAGTAATTACATGGACTCGATTTCTTCAGCGACGGGCAGCAATGGCTGCAACCTGAATTCATCCCTGAAAGGATCCGATCTGCCTGAGCTCTTCAGCAAGCTCGGTTTGGGGAAGTACACAGATGTCTTCCAGCAACAAGAGGTATTACAGCCCACTACTTCTAGTTGCATAATTTTTTCTTCTTTGCATCAACTTGTGGAACTGTCGCATAAAAAAAGGTACAACCTTTATTCCTAAATGGTTAAAAGCTTCAAAGACAAAAAAAGCTTTAAAGTGTATCTTACCCCCCTGTGAAAAGACAACTCCGCCCCAAGGCGAAATTTGAAAAATGCATCAAAGTGGGTAGGGGAGGGGGGGTTTAGAGAGCGGAGGTGTGGCCAGGACGAGAGAACGCGACAGCTAGCATTAGCATAATTGATGCTACATGGAGAGTGACCACAG